GAAAAAAAAAAAAAAAAAAAAAAAAAAAAAAAACACATCTTAGTAAAACCAATACCTTCTCAGCTTCGCATCGAAGCTAAAAACACATCATAGTAAAACCAATACCTTCTCAGCTTCGCATCGAAACTAAAAATGGTTCATCGAAAAGAAAAAGTAATAAGCACGAAATTTATTGAAAATTTTTTTTTATGGTATTATTGAACAAAAAATTGGGATTCCCATTATTATTAATTAAAATTTAATTATTTTTAATTAAAGTTAAGGTTTTAACACTGAAGAGATGAAAAAATTATTTAACTACATATTATTGTAGAGATTTATAATTTGATCAATTTTATCCTTAAAAACAATTTTTCATTTTTAATAGGTTCTGAGAAAATGAGTGTCATATTCTTAAATGATCACTCTGTAAAAATTGAATGAAAAAGTTCAGAGGCATCTTCGATGAGTTAAGACTTAAGTTTAGATGATTTAGACTCGCAAGTTAATATTAGAGAGTGTACGTTATGAATTTTTTATGAAAACATCGTTGGGCACATCAATAATAAATATTATACATAGAATTAATTGTTTTTTTTTTAATAATTAGGATATCGATACTTTTTTAAGTAATATTAGTAAAAGCAAAAGCATATTGACATCATTCGATGGAATAATCCCATAATCTACTGTGTTGGTTCTTTAATAGAGATTCATTAATTTGATACTAATAGTTTATGTTTTAATATTAAAATTTTTTGTATAAGAAAATGTATTTAAGCCAATTTACTGGAAGAATTAGAGTAGTGCACTTTACAATTTTTTTTAATTTCAAAATTGTAATTAGTGACGAAAATATATTTAAATAAAATAAATTTATAAAAATATCAGAAATTAATTAAAAATTAATTCCAGAAAAAGATCTTCAAGTTTTCTCAAATAATAATAAAAAAACATTTATTTTATTTTGCCAGTAAATAAGATACAACCATTAACCACCAGGTGTTAGTGATTTTTACCAGGTGGCTCTACTGTCACCCACATTGTATATAAATATAAGCTTAGCTATGATAGGTACTTATTCAAAAAATTTACAGGGTAGTCTGTGTTTGGTTTTACTTATCAAAAGGTGTAGCTTGATAAAAGAAAATTAACTATACAGTGGTAAGGTAATAAATAATTAAAAATTATTATTTTTACTGTAAATTATTTAATTTTATACATTTTTTATGTAGTTGAAAAAGGTATTTTGACACTATAGTTCAAATTTCACTTTTTTAATGAAAAAATTTATTTTATAACAATGCATTTATTGAGGAACATTGAATTTTTAGCGTTTGTGTTGTAAACAAACAATTTTATTTTATTATTTCAGTTTTATGCAGCACAAAAAAAAAATCATATATTATTTAAATCAATTTTTTCATTTAATTTAAAATGTATAAAACTGATGTAGTGATGTATTTTATTAAAAAAATTACAGTACATTTGTTTTGCAGAAATTTTGAAAAGAAATAATGATGGAAATAAACAAATATGAAAACTGGATTTTTAACATGCGATTGGCAAAATTTCTTGGTTACTATTATATTCTAAATCCAAAAACTGATGGAAGTCTTAAATTTTATTATTTTCTGGTGAAACTGGGTATTATTTACATTGTAGCAATATCAACGTGCTTTATCTTTGGACTGTACCACTGGAAAAATGACATAAATCAATTTACATTACAGCTTGCTATATTACAGAATATGCTCTTTGCTATCTACAGATTTTATATAATTATGAAGGATTCTGAAATTATTTGGGATATCTTAAAAATAACTAATCTTGAGTTTTTATCTATTGAAAATTATAATAAGAATATTTTGAACATATGGCGAGCCATATCAATAAAATACACCTATTTGATTACAATATTAACTTTTTATGTAATGATAGTTTGGTCTTTATGTGGATATGTTTTTAATAATAGTTATGTAACTGCAAAAAATCATGATGGTTCATACAGCAGTTATCATTTGAATGTTTACAATTTGTATTTTTTCGTTTCAGCAGATACATATAATACATATTTTCCAATTTTTCACTTAATCGAAACTTTATATGCTTTTGTATACTGTTTATTTGCTTTACCAGCAGATATAACTTTAATATCAGTATGTCTATCAGTAGTAGGTCAATTAGAAGTGATTAATGATAGCTTTGAAAATGTTGGACTATTGTACCAAGAAAATGTATTACAACAAAGTAACTATTTTAAAAACTATCAAATTAATTTAATTAATAAATATTAATATATATATATATATATATTAATATTCATAAGTTAGATAATTATTATTTATAAAAATCTGTATTTCTTTACTATTAAATTATTTTTAACAGGTATTAATGTTAAGGAATTTCAGAATAAAATTAAATTGGAATTCAAAAATATTATTTACAACAGTCAAAATGTTATTAGGTAGGTTTTATACATTTTTAAGTTTCAAAAATTGATAACCTTAAAGTCGAATATTTCCTTTTATTTTAAATATTTAAAAAACTAATCTTCTATCAACTTACTGGATATTTGTTTTATGCTCCGCTTATATTTTAGAGTATTATTATCTGAAAAATCTATTATTAGACATTATTTTTATACCTAATATAATAATGAGGGAACTAACTCATACATAATTCTTAGTTGTTCCTAAGTCAATTCACCGATTAAATTATAGGTAAATAAATGATTGATAATTGGCTCGTACGTATCCGTATAGATATCTGATAGTGATTAAAATCATTATCATTAAAAGCTCTTTGATACAGATCTGTAGATAGTGTTTAATTTTTAGATGATATTGTTGGATTATTTCAAAAGCAACATTAACTCCTATTTCCTTAATAATATCCTGTTTACAAGTTAATAATTATAATTACATATTATAGTAATCAAATTAAATATGAAATTGATATTTAATATTTTTTATTGTAATTATACGAAGAAATTTTATAACATTTTAAGTAGTTGTTCATTTTAGTACCTCTATGACAAACGTATGTGTGACCGAGTTGGTAACGCGGCAATGCTTGATGCGAACTGTCTCGGGTTCGAAACTCTGCCATGAGCGACTTCATTTGCTGAGCGAGAGATCAATTCAGTAATTGGAGTCGCCATCCCTCTCTCTGGGGACGAACTAACACTGGTACTGCGTGAAGGGTTCCCGAATTTTTTTTGCATTAAAGTTTTTAATTAATTTGTATAAGTATTAGGGTTGAACTTATTTTCAAAATTTGACTTATTCATTATAGTGATAGCGTAGTATATCATATAAACTCCACAGTTATAAGCATCAACTTGTTTTAGTATGTTTTTAACTTTACATTGAATCAATGATATTAGAGGAATTGATTTTTTAACATAAGTACAATGTTAACCCTCTGTATGATTTTTGGAACTTTTGCTGGTTGTATTTTGAATCTTCAGTACGATTCATTGGGTTCATTATATAACACTCTTTAAGTTCATAATTAATTACTGCAATAATTTAATGATTTTATGATAAAACTGAATAAGATATCATATATACTACGGTAGCTAATCATTAAAGCTTCTATAAATTCTACACAACATTGTCGCTCATTTCTAGTAAAAATCGTGTTGTTAAAAGTGTCATCAACATATTTTCTTATTTAAAACTTATCAGTCACTTTATTAGCTTCATAGCCAATAAGCTGTTGTTCAATTTTTCTCCAAATTAACCTTTATGAATCGCACTTACTAACTTATCACAATTATATTAAGTCAGAATAAAAGAATTTGCATAACATGATACACTATCTATATTAGCAAAGCTAATAATTTGTTGAGAAATATTTATTTTACTTATATTTATTATATTTTTCTCAATATTTTTTTCGCAATTGATACATCTGAATGATCATTTTTATCGGTAATGCTCATTTAAGGATATCATTTAACGAATGATATTTTTGAAGCATTTACACATTTTGTTTATAGAAATTTAAGCGGAACATATAACCGACATATGTGAAATTATCAAGGGTAGCACGAATAATTTCCATGAGTTATTTGTTATGATTAATAACTGAGTGTCCACTTGACTTGAGAATATGGCTTATATTATTATTTATGAAACATATTGAACCACTTTTACCATTGTCATGCACTTTATTGATCTTACATGCCTCTGTGAATACTTCAATATTATTAAAATCAGAATTTGTAGTTCTAGTTTCTTGGAAAAATAGTATATTTGAATAAAATTATATTTTATCATCAAGAATATTTTCAATATATTAGCTTCGATGCGATGCTGAAAAGGTATTAATGATTTTTTTTTTTTTATCAGCTCTCACCGGACTGATTTCTTTCAACGATACGTCAAACGATCACAAATCAATCTAATCAAAGACATTATCCTCAAAAATTGAAAAAATTCCATCGTTCCCCGTAAATGGGGGAAACCTCCAAAAAAATTACAAATTTAAAAATTGCTAATTTTCGAAATTTTTTCAATTTTTTTTACTAAAAACTGCCGTAACATTTTCGAAAAATAAAAAGAATAGAAACAATCTTTTTTTTTCATAGATGCATAAAGTTTATAGATACAAAAACTGACCCTATAGCTGCCTACAAGAGAGAATTCAAAATGGTAATTTTTTCACAAAAAATTAATTTTTCAATTAACTTTTGAAAGTGTTTTTTCAATAATACGTCAAATGATTACAATTTGTATTTAGTTGATGATATTATCCTCAAAAATTGAAAAAAGTTCCTTTTATCAAATAAAATTGATTAACCAGGTTTCTCCATACAGACAATTAAAATCATTCATTTCTAAAATGTTTAAAGTATTGTAAGTACCAGTTTATAATATTCCAAATTTATTTGTAATAAGTGGCTATATAAATTATTTCTAAAAAAAATGATTTTTAGTTTTACTGAATTTAACAATGAATTTTTACAATTACAATTAAATTTTATAATACGCTCAATTGAGTAAATTTTTTTACAACATTTTGATTGTTTTTTTTTAGTTAAAGTAAATCATTAAAATTAATTAAGTTCTGAATATTTCAATTATAGAATCTTTTTAAACACCAACATTTATTTAAAAATGATTGCTGTGATATCTATTTCAGTGATCTATTACATTAAAAATGCAAACAAATTTTGAGCTTCTGATAAATTTACTGTAAATAGTAATTATAAAATTTATTTACTGCATATTAATCTTAACAATACAATTTTTTTAATTCTCATAAAATTTTCTATTTAATAATGTTATTTTCAAACTTGCAAGTTGAGCATTGAAGTAACAAAATATACTACTTTATCATTTTTTATTATTTCTCCCGAAAAATTACAATATTAAATTATTAAATATTAATTTTATTCTATGTTTAATTGTTATAATAAATATTTATTCAAAAATTATACTTCTAAATCTATGAACTACTCAGAATATAATTAAAGAAATTGGATTGATGTTGCTTTTGTAATTATACACCAATTTCTTAAAATTAAACACACTACAGATTTGCGTCGAATCGTTTCTTATGACTTTGATTATCACAGTCAGATATCTATATTTGTCCCAACTATTCCACGTCCATACTGTGCCGTGACCCCACTGTGCTATCATTTTTTTTAATAGCAACATAAATATTTAACTAGTTTACAAAATAGAAAATGATCAAATTAAGCAAATTACGGGTCATTTAAACATTTTTAAAGCATGACGGTAGGAAGAATACTAATGAGAAATCTCTACAGTCATAACTACACAAAAACACTCATTTTATTATTATTATTAATAAAAATCTTACTTTGTCAAATTTTGAGGTACGCACTATTAAATAGTATAAGTGGCAATACTAGTAGTATATTTATGGCATGTAACGTGGATATATTATAATTAGAAATAAGTTAGAAAATTTATATGTCAATGAAATTTAGCGAAAATCAGATTTAATACAGTAGGACTTTACATAGATTATAAATGCTGAATACATTTTTTTGCAGTTAAAAAATTGGCGCAAATTACATACATATAATTGATATCTAATAATGACGAAAATTACCATCCCTCATACAAATATTTGAGAATTCAGTCAAGTGATTGTACAAACTTATCGTACATAAAAATTGGAAACTGTATCGAATTTGTAAACGATTTATGCAGAATATTTGTATATAATCTCATCTGAATATCGAATAAGACCTAAAAATTACAAAATTTCCTTTAAAATATTTACTAATAAGTGGAAACTCTATATAATATAGGTATAATAATATTTTTGATATTTTATTTTGCTTAGAATTATAGCAATTTAAAATTTGTAACTTAATTTGTGTTTCTTCATTAACGAGCAATAAGAAATTATTATAAATAAATAATTCGCATAAATGAAAGATGCTATATTTATAAAGGCAATAATAAATATATAAGTGGTTATAATATTTTTGTATTTTTTTAGAAAAATGAAGCAATTTTATGATACATTCCGACAAATAATTTTGATCCAAATTGTAGTAACATTTATTAACTTGGTACTTTTTTCATACACCGGAATGTTGGTAAGAAGTAATGCTTGTAAAGCAATAGTAACTTTTTGATTTATGTTTAATAAATAAATTAAATATTTGTTACAGTAATTAAATTTAATATGAAATTGATATTGAATAATTTAATATTGTAATTTTTAACAGAAAATTATAATAATTTATAAAGTTTTTGTATACAGGATTATTATTGTAATATTAGCCACTCTTCTAATACAAAATCCTCATAAAATTTTCTATTTAATAAACTAAAAAAAAGTTTAAATTTCAACATTTTTAAGTTATTCAAAATTTTTTATATTAACTTTCATGAAAATCTTAAAAGACCAACAAATATGTTAAACGTGACATTTTGAATCGAATTTTTCCTAGATTATTTTTAACATATTGAAAATCAAAATCAATTTTTATATTTAAATACTCGTATTTACTAAATAGTAACAATCTCAAAAAAATAGGTGATAGAAAAAATCTAATTTCAGATTTTAAATCAGCGCAAATTTTTGGGTTAGTAAAGTATATTTTCGTGTATGAAGTAAAAATGTTTCATTTCAATGATACAGTTTTTCTGCTTGATTCAGTATAAGAACAAATTTTATACTCCCATTATTTATGAAGATAATTGTACACACTTTAAATAAATTATTTTTATTAAAAAAAATTGTCAATTTTTATTTAAGTAAATTTAAAGAATGCAGTCGTTTTGGAATATATCCAAAAATTGTGTTAAAAAAAAATAATTATAAAATCCGTGGGTGTTCTTTTCCAAACATTTCTTGTACTTAGGTTTTCCATTGGTTTATGATAAAAATCATACTTGGTAAAAGAATATTTTAGTTAGTGTACTCTATTAAAATTTTAATAGAATTAATGTTACATAATAATGACAATGAAATAATAACATTTTTTTGTAATTCATTAGCACATCACTAATGGCGGAATGGTCAATTCAATACAGACTGTTAAACTTATTTCAGCATTTGTATTTTTCATTTTTCAATTATTCATATTTTGCTTCATTTTTGGGATTATAAATGACAGGGTAAGTAGTTTATTAAAATAATAAAATAATAATAATTTTAAGCATTAATCTGAAAATAATTTTTATTTGTGATAAAAAATCACGTTATTTTATTTGTATATATTTATAAAGAATACTTCTAGCGGCTAAAATCACGGGAATTAAACATAGTAACAAAGAAAAAACTGTCAACGTTTTTTTCTATTCATTGTAGTTGTTTAATAACTCGACTTATCAATAGGCCATGTTTCTAATTAAGAATTTTTGTTTTTTTTTATTAAGGCATCCTTGTGTGCAAATTAATTAATATCACTTCTCTGCAATTGTTCAATAAACTCTATTTAAATTGACTTAAAATTTCATCTTCTACAAATATAAATATATACAAATTTGTATGTGAAATTGATTACACGTTTCATTACTTAACTTAAAATTTTTCTACTTTGCAGTACCATATTTTCAAAATCGTTAGGTTAATGTTTGTTATATCATTATTGTTGTTTAAATGAATTCTCAAATCATATGTTAAATATTAACATTTTTTTAATAATGAACAAAATCTTACAGAGGAACACTCTATTTGACTTAAATTCATGATTTAAAAAAATAAACTAAATTTAATTGTCATAGGTTTATAATTTATAATTTAATTTTTTCAAATGTTATATACTTGTATGTGNAATTGGGATAGGTTTATAATTTATAATTTAATTTTTTCAAATGTTATATACTTGTATGTGACATTTGTAGAGCCGTAATAATTGGTTTGATTATCTACTACGTGTACGATCAAAGATGTAAGTATCAAAGATGTAGGTACACATTTTTCTCAGTTATAAACAATTCTAATTTTAAATTGACATATTTTTTTCAAATATTACCTAATTCATTCTTAGCAAAGATGATTTAAACTAAATGATATATTGTTGTCTCAGCGCTGTGTAACTATCTACATTTTTATTACAAACAATATTTAAATAAAATTGTTTTTATTTGAAGTAAACAAGGGAAAGTGTTGAACATCTCTTTATTTAACGTACATAAATATAATTGACTGATTGAAATATTTAATAATAAATTACAGTCAAATTAAGTTATGAAGCTATTATTATCGAATTTCAATATTAATAATAAGTATTAAAAGTATTAATCAGTAAATTATAACTGTCTAAAAATGTTGTAGTGCAATATTATCTAGACATCACGAAATTAACGAAGTTGAAATTTTAAAATCATCCCATAGATTTATACATAACATAACTATTTAATCTCGCACAGAAGATTTTATGAGAAGTTCCTGTTTTCAACAACACCTTACATGGCGTTTGGTGTACCAAATATATTACGGAGTACTTTACAGAAGTGAGGTGTACAGGAATTTTTCAAAATGGTGTCACAATATATATAGTGTGATTTAATAAGGATACTAACCCCAATTTTTCATAAAAATTTACAAATTAAAATTTAATTAATATTTAAAAATTATAGAAAATAGTATGTTTATTGTAAGATGTTTATTTTTTATATGAATGTTTATTGTTTATTGTATTTCTAATGGAAGATTTTAGGGATAATTTTTGAAAGTTTAATAAGAACCTATTATTATTTTTCTTTAATTAAATAAACTATGGTCTAAATAATGTTTTGACTTATCGATAACGAGATTTTTTAAATTAATTTTTGTGATAAAGCATTTCAAGATTAAGTAAATTTGAGGAGCGGTGTAGTGTTTAGCGACACTCTATTTTTACTATCATGCAGACAAAAATTCATCTACGTTGTGCACTCCGCACGTCAATAAATAAAAATTATAACAACACAAAAAGTAATTATACAAAATTGGTTAGGCATTATTTGTCTTATAATTTGATATTTACAATGGTTATAAAAATTTATCAAATTTTAATCTATACATTTTTATAAAGAAAATCATTATTTAACAAAAAAATGGGGTGTATCATTCTTAAAAATGTACACTATATAATTTGATTACCTTTTTTTTTCACATCGTTAACTCCCACTGTATGAGGAAAAATAGACTGATTAAAAAAAAAATGTGTGTCGGATATAAGGGATAATTATAAAGTATTTATAAAAAAAAAATTTTTGTTGATCTATACATTTTTGAAAAAGTTATGGCAATTTATAGTTGAAAATATAAAATCAAAAATTTGAACACAAAATAGTATGTTTTTAACTACGGCAGCTATTTGCGTTTAGAAAATAAGTAGTCGGGATAATTTATTTTTAAATTTATAGTTCATAATATAAGCTTTAATTTAATATATGTTTAAAATTTACAAATTAAAATTAAAATTTTTAATTAATTTTTTTGATAAAGCATGTAAAATTTACTAATTAAAATATGATTAAATTTTAAAAATTATAGCAAATTGTAAAAAAAAATTATTTCTAATGGAAGATTTTAGTACGTAATATAAGCTTTAATTTAATATTTAATGTTTAAGGAATGCAGTATTTTCGGAACATTTTCAAAAATTTAATTTTTGTGCAAAAGTTGCTATTTTGAATCCACTTTGTGGACACGTAAAGAGTAGATTTAAAAAAAATATACACGTAAATAGAGAACGAATTACCTAAGGTATTTATAAAAAAAAATGTTTGATTTGATTCATTAACTTTTCAAAATTTTAAGGAAAAAAGTTTAAAAAATTTCAAAATTTACCATTTTTAAAAATTGTAATTTTTTGGCGAATTTACACCTTATACGGAGAACGGAAAATTTTTTTCAATTATTGAGGGCAGTCTTCAACTAGACACATGTTTGATCTCTTATGTATCGTTGAGAAATTGGTGAGAGCTGAAAAAAAGTGGCAACAGGAAAAGTAAAATAAAATAAATTATATATTTTTATAGTTTATAGTGAAGTTGATTTTATGTGCATTACATTAGCTAAATAACGGTAAAATACATAGATACGATTTGTGATCTTTTGACGTATCGTTAAAATAAATCGGTTTGGTAAGAGTTGAGAATAAGTGGTAACAGACACAAAAAAAAAAAAAAAAAAAATAAATATACACATCATAGTAAAATTAATACCTTCTCAGCTTCCCATCGATGCTAAAATATAGGTTACATTTGAAAATCAAAAATTATTACTGTAACACTATTATATTTGAAAATATTACCTAAATAAAATACGAAAACTTATGTGGCCTCTGGCAAAAATAGTAGTTTTTAAAAAGAGATTTTAAAACATTAATAAATTAATTATTATTTGATTTTTTTTTTTTTTTAGAAAGATTCAATGCTATTTGGAATTTATTACTCAAATTGGATAGAAATGAACTTAGAAAGTAAAAAGCTTGTTTTACTAACTATGAATATGAATAATGCTCATCAATTAAAAATGAAAATAACTAGATATAAAACCATTGATTTAATTATGTTTGTAGGTGTAAGTTATAAAAATCATTTTACAATTAAAAAATTTTAGCATTATTATTTCACTATATAAATTTTCAGGTTTTAAAAACATGTTATTCGGTACTTTCAGTATTAAGGAATACACAGCTAAGCAACAACCAAATTTAAACAATGAATACAAAATATTAAAAATATAATAAATACAAATGAAAATTTAAACGTATAAAAAAGCTAGTTAAAAACATATACTTTTTTTTAAATTGTGTATATTTAGTAAGAAGATATAAAATAAGTCGCGGGGGTTGATCCAAAATGGTCTATGTGATTGTTCTGTAAAAATTACTTTTTTTGCTATTTAGGCTATGCATTTTAACGCACTTTTTTCTAGCTAGTAAGGAGTTCAATACGATAAAAATCAAAAAATTTATTCAGTAAATAATTTCTATATAACTTTAAAATATCACTTTGGAAAACCTTAGATAGCACCGTATTTAATTTTATTAATTTAAAAACAAAAAGTTATTATTTATAGTCAAAAACTAGGAACAAATTTTTCTTTTCAGTAATATACTTTTTTATTTTTTGGTAAAAAGATTTAAGATTTTATTTTTAGTTTTTGTGCTAAAAGATTCTCACCCAGAACTATTTAGTTCCAAGATTATTTTTATCAATATTATTTGATTTTAAATTGAATAATAATAAGGTGAAAAATATTCGAAAATATTGAAATTTGCTCCATTGGAAAATTACATATTTACACATAGAACCTTTTGGATTAAAATCCGCAAATGGTTTTAGTAGATTTAGTATTGTGTAAGAACTCACAAATTTTTTTTATAGCAAATAATTTGCCCGGCCTTATAAAAATGATAAAAGGCTAGCTTATAAATATTAGAGTTGACTGTGGATCCTTTATCAATACATTATTTGGAGATCTCAAAGTTACATATTCTTACATATTCACGGATCACTTTTTGATGACTTATTTTTAACGGTTATTATATATTAAATAAAAACAAATTAGGAGTAGTTCATAAGTCTATTACCAAGACCCGACATAACATTATTGTTATGATGTACATTAGGGTGCCACTTATTCATACATGATGATTTTTTTTTGTAATTCTTATGAGCGCCGGTCAAAATTTTATTAGAAATACCTTAAATATAAATCATGTAAAGTTTCAGCCCATTTGAACAACTTTAACACGTGCCGATTTGAGCTTAAAGTTTTGTGTAAATTCGTAAAATCCATTATTTTGACATATAGTCGTTACAATTTTCATTTTACAAAAAATTTTATAGAACAATACAAAACACGTTTTAAAAAAATGGTCTCTTAATATTTTTTTGTAAAGTGAACTCATTCTCGGAAAAATAACAAAATATGTGCGATTTCGCGTTTTATAGAATAAACACAACTTTAGTGTTGTATAGTTTTTTTTTTTTTTTATAGCCTTTATTAAAATGTGTTGTATAGTTATATTTTTAATACAGTTTCTTATTTATAAACGACAATAAAATTTTTGTTATTATTATGAACATCATTTTAAGTTTAAGTTAAAATTTATAAATGTCACTTTTATCACATATACTGACTCATAAAATAGTAATCTCGGGAATCGTTGAATTGTCTAAGTACGATAATAATCATACATGTGCAATATTCGATTCTTTTATTTTACATTTACCGTGTACCTCTAACGTTATCTAAATGGAACTTTTTTGATCCAATAAAGTAATTGTAAATAGAATCATTACCATTTATTGAACATTATTTCTCTTGAAGTCATACTTATTGTTGTCTAGTTAGGTTTAAGAGTTGTTTGTAAATCAGTAAAAGTATTTTTATTTTAAGTTTTTTTGGGGGGGGGGTTTTATTATTTAATTAATTAAAATGCCACTTCGTGAAAAATTTTTTATAATCGGCCATATGGAACATCAAATCACGGGAAGTAAATTACCATCTAGAGGAGATTGTTTAAAAGTTTTAATGTATAATATGAGATTTACAAAATTAAATTTAAACGAAAGTGCTGCTCTAGTTATAGAAGAATGTTTAGTTTTTTGGAAGAAAGCTCGAATACCGACTCAAGAACCTCATAAATGTAAAGACAAGTTGAAAAAGTTGTATGAGGAATGGAGATCATTAACAAAAAATGCCAAAAAAATTTCTGAAAATTTAAGACAAAAAGAAAATATGTTTTTAGAAAAAATCAATGATTTATTTGATATAGCCCACCAAAACGCACTCGAATTGATTAAAATTGAAGAAGATAGGCTATTTTTAAATAAACAAAGAGAAAAAGGACGTCCAGGTTCAATGTTGGGAGTAGATAGAAAACTAAGTGGGATTGAAAAACGAAAATTTACTCGTGAAGAAAAGATTAACACTAGGCGTGAAAAGTATTTAAATACGCCGTCTACGTCAACTGGTAAACTCAATTAAATTAATAAAACATACAATTTTTAATTTTTTAACTTAAGACAGTAAAACTAAAAATCAATACTATATTTCACAGGAATTATACATTATTCAGATTTTGATGAATGCGATATTCATGTAAAATTAAATGAAGAAAAAAACATTCAAAATATTAGAGACGGTATAATTGATGATTTTGAGTCAGTAATGGAGTTTGAAAATGAAGAAAAAATTCCAAATTCTGAAGTTGATACAGTTGTAAAACCTAAACGAGCTCGTAAAGAAATTTTAACGCCACGATTAGCTGCAGTACTTGATAAGTGTAAAATAAGTGAGAGAGATACGGTCCATTTACTTACAGCTTTTTTGGATGCAGTTTCATTAGATTCAGCTGATTATATAATTAATCGTACATCTATCCGTAAAGCAAGAGATGATTATCGAAGAACTTACTATGAAAAGGTAAGAAAAAATTATTTAAGTATAGAAAAAGATGTTGTAACAATACATTGGGACACAAAATTATTAAGTAACATTATTGGACAAAAAGTCGATAGATTAGCAGTAATTGCAACGTCCCATGCAGTTGACAAACTTTTAGGAGTACCAGAAATACCCGCTGGAACTGGTTTAGAAATATGCTCCGCTATTTATGAAGTTATTGATAGCTGGGGATTGATAAATAATATCCAAGCGTTTGTTTTTGATACAACAGCATCTAATACTGGGAAATTTAATGGTGCTTGTTCCTTATTAGAAAGGAAAATTGAACGAGATATATTATTTTTCGGTTGTCGTCATTATATATACGAAATAATATTATCANAACGAGATATATTATTTTTCGGTTGTCGTCATCATATATACGAAATAATATTATCAACAGTTTTTACGATTTGTAAAGTAAGCGTCCTGACATGACCTGATATTGCGCTATTTAAAAAATTTAAAAATCAGTGAGATACCATTATAAAAACTGATTTTTCTGCTGAAATTTCTCATGCTAGAGTTCGACATATTTTAAATAATGATATTGATGAAATTTTAAAGTTTTGTTTTGATAGACTTAATTTATCGTTTACGCGAGATGATTATAAAGAATTTCTTATTTTAATTATTATTTTTTTGGGGGGTGTCCCTCCAGAAGGAATAAAATTTAAAAACCAGGAGCATACCATTTAGCACGTTGGATGGCTAAAGGTATATACGGCCTAAAAATTTTCTTATTTAGAAATCAGTTTAAGTTAACTAAACTTGAGGAAAATTCTCTCGCAGAACTTAATTGCTTTATTATAAAATGTTACGCTGTGAACTGGTTTACTGCCTCAAACAGTGAAATGGCTCCTTTAAATGACATCAGATTTTTAAGAAAATTGCATGAATATTCTAAAACGAATAAAGATATTTCTGAAGCTACAATTAGAAAATTTTTAAATCATTTATATTATTTGAATGAAGAATGTTTATCTTTTACATTATTCGATCAAAGAGTAGACGATGATACAAAATTGAAAATGGCTAAAAAATTATGTGAAGACATCTTCGATGAAGAAGATGAAATAGAAGAAGAGATTGAGACCCCCAAAAAACTAATTTTAAAAAAAGGTGACATTCCATTTATTTTTAATGATGACGATAAAACTATTTTAGTTAAACTTATTAGTAAAAAATCTCTAAAGATGTTTAAAAGATTCAATATAAATAGTGATTTTTTAAAAACTCATCCCAACACGTGGAATAATTCAGCTAATTATAAATATGGCGAGGAAAAAATTAAAAACCTTAAAGTTGTCAACGATGCAGCAGAAAGAGGAATTAAACTTATTGAGGAATTTGATCATAAAATTACAAAAAATGAAGAGCAAAAACAATTTCTTCTGCAGGTAAATAACATTAGTTAATAGTTTTGATAATAAATAATGCTATTTATTTTTAATTTTTAGACTATACAAGATTATCGTGAAAAATATCCGAATCCATCTCTAAATGTTCTTAAAAAAAACCTCTGATTTTTTTTATTTAATATTATTTATTTTTTATTTTTTTAATTTTACATAAGTCCATGTTATTTTACAGACATGAAGTATGTTTTATAATAATAAAATAAGAATCAATTTTTTTTAAAAATATTTATTTTTTTATAAAATTGAAATTAATTTATTATAGTCTATTATAATTTTTGTTACAATAATATGATAAAAGAGTATTCTATAATACGCGAAATCGCACATATTTTGTTATTTTTCCGAGAATAAGTTCACTTTACAAAAAAATATTAAGAGATCATTTTTTTAAAACGTGTTTTGTACTACATTTATTGTTCTATAAATTTTTTTGTAAAATGAAAATTGTAACGACTATATGTCAAAATAACGGATTTTACGAATTTACACAAAACTTTAAGCTCAAATCGGCACGTGTTAAAGTTGTTCAAATGGGCTGAAACTTTACATGATTTATATTTAAAGTATTTCTAATAAAATTTTGACCGGCGCTCATAAGAATTACAGATGTTAAAAATAAGTGGCACCCTAATGTACATACTAGTCATTATACAGAGTGTTCAAAAAGTAAGAAAAAGTCAATTGTTACGAACACTAACAATAAAGAAACCATTTTCATTACTTACTAAACACTCTATATATTAGTTATAGAATCAAATGTAGACCGTTTATACGAGTTTTTACACAATTCTAAGAAAAATATTTAATAATGTACTAATAAAATTTTATGTAAAATTATATAATGGCATTGTAAAATAATATGTAATAATTAATACAATCGACTAATAAAGTGATAATATAAGAATTAGTGATACTTCTTGCATATGAAACGATTTAAATTTTCCAGAAAATATTTCTAATTCTCTCACTTCTTAAAAATCTGACTCGTATTTAAGAAATGGTTAGTGACACTCTGATTGAAAATATATAAAACAAAAAAAACTGGTTATATTGATTTCAAAATGTACTTTCAACGTGAGTAAGATAAAGATTTAAATATTCCAAGTACATAAATGAAGTAAAAATAAAAAAAAAAACCAAGTGGTTATAAAAAATAAAATTTTAATTGAGTTAAATATTGTAATAATTTTATTTATCTTGAACTCAGATTTTGATTTAATTACATGGTATTTTATCAATGAAACGATAATTTCTTTCCATTGTATTTTAATATCTTAGCATTAGATAATATATCATCGAAATCAGTAAATTTTAAAAATTCAACGTTATAATTATCATAATAACTATGATAATTTTTTTTTCTGTTTTGGCCCTTTCTCCATCAATTTTTAGGTCTATTAGTTTTTAGTTTTTTAACTCAACAACTTTTATTTTATTTTTTAAGTTACTACATTGTGTTCAGTAGTTTGCGATTAGAAATACTAATTTTTATTTGATCTGCTTTTTGTGCGGACCCACGTGGTAAAGGAATTAAACTTAATAAAAAAAACGAAAACACTCACTTTTAATAAAAATGTAGAATATATAATGTAATTGAACAGTAAATGATACAATACAACGTTAATTCTTGATATTAATACAAATGAATAGGATAATGAAATAGAATGAATTAGAATGAAGTAAAATTATAATATGGAATAACACATGAGTATAATTAGCGCTTACTAAACCACGACTGACTGTAGGGGACCTACAGTAGGAGTCCTTTACCTATGGTTGCCCTAAATCCCTTAGTCAGCACATTCCTGTGTCCGACGACAGTCAGACGACCATGTATTCTATACTCTACGCAATTATAAAATAATATTAAGGGGTTATTAACACGCTTTTTATCAAAACAGGAATGTAATTTTTAATAAATTCATTTTTATTTAATTAAAAATATAAACATGAAACAGCCTGTTTACACTATTATGATGATGAAATAGTATATACTGAATAATCAAAATCTGGTAAGACACTCATTTTCTCAGAAACTTTTGATAATTTTAAATTTTTGTAAAAAATATTAATTTCATAAAACTCTACAATAATATGTAGTTAAATAATATTTTTTCTATCCCTTCAGGAATAAAAGTCTTTAATTATAATTTTCTGAAATGGAACATATATTTTTGATTTAATAATATGATAGAAAAAAATTACAAACAACTTTGTTCTTATAATTTTATATTATTATATGCCGGCTGGAAACAAAAGTGGAAACTTTGACGTTGAAAATCAACTTGCCCACCAATAGTGTGGAAGGGGTACTTGACAGTACTAATAAGGGAACTGTTAGGGGTTAGTTTAATAGTTGAGGATCTTGGTCAAAACCAAGAATCGGAAGCTACCCGACGTCTGCTCAAATATCGTCCCTATCTCCTTAAATGAGTTTTAATTACCTGAAGGAGACACAGGCAATCGTGTACCTTAGTTACAGGGGATAGATTATTAAATAAAATTAGACTATTGTTTTATGTCAACGACAAAGTAAAGTTATATTTAGATGTTCAGTAAATATAAGTTATATGTAATGTACAATACGTCTGACCTGAATCCTAGTACAGTTGGTTAGTAGGTATATCCAAGTGAGACGGAGTTGGTTGGCTATGATGACAATTGGCGATAGACGGGTCGTTGAATAAAACAAGTAAAGTTATAAATAATATAAATAAGACGAAAGTAATAATATTGAAAATTATGTCTATAACGGCCAATCAAACACAACTGCCCTTTGTTAGTTCGACGTCAATAGCTCCGGGCTACAGACGAGTAGAATTGTCATATCAGCATCTCCCTCTATGCTAATTAATATGTATTACGAATTAAATAAATAGAAATAAAACGTGTGTAATACAAGTGGTAAGAACATAGTAATAAATGTTCTTACAGAACCATATCACTACACTACACGCTTAGGCGAATTATAGAGGGCATGACCGAAACACTACATGTCTGATCGGAAAGGAGGTAAGCATATGGCTGTACCGGAATGTTTCGACCAAACGGCTCAACAGGACCCCTTACCCCCCCCCCCCCCACTGGAGCTTTGAGGAGATGACGAGTTCTTTGGTGGATTACACCGGACTTTGATGGAACAGAACCATAGAATATAGTTCTTCGGTGAAAAAATATATTTACCCCGTGAAAACGGCCGGTACCTCAGAGTACACCAACCGGGATCCCATTGCTCCGGAGAAAATTCAAATTTCTTCGGTTGATTAAATCGGAATCGGGAAGAACAGCACCGGAGCAAACAGTTCTCCGGTTTTCGAGTTTCCTTAGTAAGAAACTGAAAACTTTCGCTTCAAATTGGGAAATTACCGGAGTAGAACGATCCGAAAATCGATTCCGTCCGGACAATGGAACTAGAGAGCAACGACACGTTACTTTTAACGAAATGTCGTTACTGTCCCACAACAGCTTAACGTGGCGCGAGATTCTTTGTCGGATTTTTTTGGTAAGAAATAAGAGAACTGGAATGCGTTTATAGAAGAGGCTGAGTTGGTCCTAAGTGAAGTGAGCGTACCGCACCAGAAATGGATACGTGTGCTAACCCCACAGTTAAAAGCATAGGCAAGTAACTGGTGGGGTACCACCATGAAGTGCTGAAGTATTGAAGAAATTAAAGTCATTTAAAGATGATAATGAATTATATTCTATTTATGAATATATTATGTCAGAATAGCTTAAAAAGGTAAATAAATATCTGAAGTATTATGTCGAACTAAAAAAATTAATTAAATGCAGCAAGTAATTGTATTATTTTTTCTTTTGAAGAAATACACATTTTTATTAATAGTAAGCATACAGTAAGTTTATTGATGTAAAACACATTGTATTAATGCAATAAAAGATTTACACAAATGTTTTGCATATTTTAGGCTACAAAATGAAATTGTTTCAGATAATAGCCTTCCTTTCAACTCTTAAGAGTTTGAAATAGAGCATAATATAAAGATAAGTAAGAATTCATCATACCAAAGCCAATCAAATGGTTTGATAGAGAGAGGTGCGCAAACGATTAAAACATATTTATTTTAAGTATTAATTAGACTGTAGGGTGAATAGATTATCCATAAAAGAAAATATTAATAGATTTTTATCAGCATATAATGCAACACTGACAACGGTGGGTAAATCACCTACTGATGGTTGGGTTGTCATATAAAATCAAAACTACAGCAAGTACATTAAATCCTAAAATTATAGGTATAACAAAGAAAAAAGTGAAATTTGATTTAAAAAAACCCAGCACAGTGTGGTCGCAGCACTGTGGAAGGGACGTAGCATAGTTGGGTCCAGTATAAATAATATCTGACAGTGATTAAAAGCACTATCATTAAAAACGCTTCGATGAAAATCTATAGATAGTGATTAATTTAAAAAAATTGGTGGATTATTCCAAAAGCAATATGATTTCCTATTTCCTTATTTATATTATGATTACAAGTTGTATGACTTCTAAGTTTAATATATGAATATATAATTATTTTAGCAATTAAATATAGTATGAAATTGATATTTAATAATTTAATATTGTAATTTTTTACAAAAATCGCATTTTTAATTATTAACTCTTATGTCCGTTTCACCATGAAAACAAAATAAAGCCCGAAATTTTTTTTTTTTTTATATTAAAGTATTTAACAAGCTTAAATTTAATATACAGGGTGATTTTTTTATCATTACCCACTCAATTACTTACAGAATAATAATAAATTAAACATTTTTTTTTCGATTATCTTTAGTTACACATCATTCCTGAATTATTAACTATGTAATACTTTTTAAGTTCATCCCTTATACCTGGTAAGGGTGTCAAATTTGTTTTTTTAAATGGTAACACATATTTTTAATTTAATAAAATGTTTGAGTTTTTAATTTAATAGTAAATGGCATTTGAATTTTTAATATAACTTAATTTGTTTATTAGATATAATCATTTAAAGTTTCAAATTTTTGAATTAATATACAGGTATAATACACAAGGGATTACAAATACAGGTAGCTAATTGGTTTTTTATAACATCGATATTAGCAGGTACACAGCATTGTTATTATCAATTGTAGTAAGGCACATTGTTATGAGTTTATAAATACACTAACTGACAATACAGAAAGTATATCTATTGATAATCATAATTGATAATAAACAATCCGTGACTGAGACAGCAATGTCATAAAAATCCAATTAGCTACCTGTATTTACAATCCCATGTGTATTATACATGTATATTAACTCAAAATGTTGAAACTTTAAATGTTTATATCTAATAAGCTAATAAAGTTATATTAAAAATTCAAATGCCATTTACTATTAAATTAAAAACTCAAACATTNTCATTTACAATTAAATTAAAAACTCAAACATTTTATTAAATTAAAAATATGTGTTACCATTCAAAAAAACAAAGTTGACCCCCTTCCAAGGCATAAGGGATGAACTTAAAAAGTATTACATAGTTAAAAATTCAAGAATAATGTGTAACTAAAGATAATGAAAAAAAAAATGTTTAAATTATTATTATTCTGCAAGTAATTGAATGGGTTATGATAAAAAAATCAGCCTGTATATATATAAAGTATCAGTATTTCCAAAACACTTTCAAAACTTAATTTTTTATCTACTAGTCTATCTACCGAAAAATTTGAGAATCATTTAGTTTTATCCATGGTTCACCATGACGATCCAGTATCGCTTTTAACATATGGCCAGGTTAGGTAGTTGTCAGTACCAAATTGTTTGGCCTTTATTGAATGATACGTTCAGGCCTGTATTTAATATTTTTGCGCGGCGTATTAATATTAATAAGCAAAATAAAGTAATTTTTTGTCCTATCACTATCAAATGAAATTCGTCCCCAAGAATTTTTGACCCCCTTAACCACCTCTAAATATGGTCACGTCGTTTTGAATAATTACTGAATTTATCACATAGGCATAACTTTATAAAGAAAATATGACATTTTACCTAAGGTAAATAAATTCTAATAGATAATTATCTTAAGTATGTATATATATATATTTGTAATGAATAATAAAAATATATTTTATAAGAAAATAACAAGTCATCAAAACATTGAAATAAAATTCAAATATTTACAATAAGCTTAAAAAATATCTAATACCTGTAATATTATAATAAAAAATAGATCTATAAATTTTTCGAAAGTTTGTTGAAAACTAATTTCACAAATTCAAATCGGTTAATTTCATTATTATTGAATTTATCACTTGCCTCTTTTGTTTTTCTAAAACGGATTTCAATTTTATTCCATACGCTTTTTGAGACTGCATTATCAAAACTATATATTTTAATGTAATTATAAGACTAAATATTTTTTATTAAAATGTAAAAAAAATTATTAATAAAAAGATGCGCCTTAAAAAATTGTTCATTATAATTTGAATGAAATGATTGACAATTATCAATGCACTGCTATCTAATAACAATAAAAAATAGTAATAAGTTCGATTAAATGAATAGTAGATAATTATTATCGGGTTATTTTGGCATATATTTTAACCAGTGGTTCTCAAGCTTCTATTTATAGACAGGTATAAACAGGGCCGTCCTTACAATTTGCGAGGCCCGGGGCAAAAATGAACATTTTTTTTTTTGCTCATCAATAGCCAGAGTACCAGGCTAGTACCTAGGGCCAAATAATTTTATATCAACAAAACATAGATAACAACACTTCATTTTTATCATTATTATAAATAAAAATACAACAAAAATGTTTTTATACAAATTTTAAAAACTTATAAAGAAAAAAATTAAACAACTATTTATTGTGAATTTTAAATTGTAAAATTATTTATGACCCCTTTGTAATAAAATTCAAGAGTACCCACAGTGGCTTTTTAATATTAGTCAAAAATTTGCTTTAATTTAATAATATTAAAAGAATAAAAAACAATGTCTTATTTAAACTGACCTTCGTTAAAACAATTTAAATTACATAAAATCAATTTTTCTGGCTTTTATTTCGGCAAACTTTTCAATAATATCGTTATAATCTAAATTTTCACACAGATCACGTTCGATTGAAATAATTGCTAGATCAGAAAGACGATTTTGTGTCATAGATGTCCTTAAATCATTTTTTATGATTTTTAACTTGGAGAAACTTCTCTCTGCGCTTGCTGTGGTTATCGGAAGGGTCAATAATATTCTCAATGCAATAGAAATGTTTGGAAATGAGCCACATGTTGTTTCTATTAAATTAAGACATTCTATAGAAGTCATTTGTTTGTTCAAAATTCTACAAAAAATTTTTAATTCGTCAAAAAGTTCAATACCATTTATATCATTATTTTCACCATCTTTTAATAAAATTTCTAAATCCATACAATGTTTTCTTAACGTTTCTTCGTCAAATGTTTTTAAATTTTCAATATTATATAAAAATCCAAAATATTCTGAATGATGAGATAGTTGTTCAAAACGTTCATTAATTGATACGATTGCTTGATCTATTACGGCTAAAAAATAATCATCGTAAAATGTTTGCTCAGCTGAATTTAGACGTGCATCTTTGCTTTCATAATTGAACTGCCTAACTTTTTTTTTAATTCTAGATTGTTTAAAAACTGCTTGAATATCAAGGCCTTCACATAAATTTTGCGCAATTTTTTTTGACGACTCAAACCCTTCATTTCTAAAATTATAAAAAAAATCTTTAAGACCACTTAATAACTGTACAGCATTACTCAATTCCATATTTTTGCTCTGAAGACTCTTACTAACTTTATTTATAGCAGATAACAGTTCATACCAAATAACAACACTTAAAATAAAGTCATAACAAAATTCATAGTTTGCTAATGACGAGCTTTCACTTTTTATTTTAGGATCCTTCGTTGATTCACTAATTTCTATTAAAGCGTCATGTACTTGGCATAATTGAAAACGGATAGGCTTAACCGATTCGACCCGAGATTCCCATCTAGTATCTGACATTGGTTTTAGTGTAAAATCTGAAACGTATTTGAGAAGAATAGTCCATCTTTCAGTAGAGGCAGCAAAAATAGAATAAATTCTTTGAATTACTCCAAAAAATGTCATAGCAGCTGGTACGGATAATGCCATATCTCCGAGAAGTAAATTAAGGCTGTGAGCAGTGCACGGAACAAAAAAAGCTCTTGGGTTTTCAGAAAGGATTCTTGACTGCACTCCTTGATGATGACCTATCATATTCGCCCCGTTGTCATACGCTTGGCCACGACAATTATTTAAATCTATATTCATTAGTTTCAATTGTGCTTTTATTTCCTCTGTTAAATTCAAGCCAGTCTTACTTGTAGTATGAATGAAACATATAAAATATTCATTTATTTCATATTTGAAAATTTTCGAAATTTCTATAACGCGCAATAAAAATGTAAGCTGCTCCTTGTGACCTTTATCAGGAGTTCCGTCCAATAAAATTGTGAAATATTTACTTTGTCTTACTCGATTTATTATTTCATCACGTATTTTTGTGGCAATAATATTAATAAGTTCATTTTGTATCCTAGGACCTAAATAATGATCATGGATGTCATTATTATATACACGTTTTAAATGATCAGCCATAATTAAATCAAATTTTGCAATCATTTGAAGTAAGCCTAAAAATTTACCATTATTAGCTGTATATAACTTAGAACTTGTACCACGAAAAGCGTCATTATGCTCTGCTAAAAATTCTATACATGCAATAATTCGTTTAAGAATATTACGCCAACGTTCTTTTTCAATATTTACGTTTCTTTGAATATCATTATCTATAGTTGTATGGAGATTAAGTCTCATACGTAGTTGTAGCCATTTTTCTTGAGCTATATTATGTGAAATAGATAATTCGTGCTCTTTTAAACGTTCACTTATCTGTTTCCAATTAAAAAATTCTTCTGACGCCAATGATGAAGTTGAGTTTGAAGAAAATAAACGACAATAGAGACAAAAAACTCGATTTAAAGATTTAGAATATAAAAGCCAATTTCTTACCACTTTTTCACCGTTCTCATTATTCGATTATAATGTGTTATGCTGAATTTTCTACCTTCGTCGTTTGATGGAAAATTATAATTTATAATTTTTGAAGGCGAGTTTTCTATTAAATAAACTCGTAATTTATCTGTAATATTTTGCCATTTACCTGGATCGTCATAATCAATTTCATCGTCCTGTACTTTTTTGTTCTCTGTATCTCCTTGGAGTAGTAAATCTTTTGATAGTTGTTGAAGATTTTCATTTACATCATTGCTACTGGATTGTAATTCTTTTGTTTCAATAGTAATATTGTCTAACAATAATTTTTGTTCGTTATTTTCAATGTTAACTTGACTACTACTTCCGGCAACACAATCATTTTGATCTTTTTTTAAAAATTTACATAAAGAGCTTTTTAAAAGTTTATCCTGCTCTTTTTGAACATTTTTAAGTTTTCGCTTTTCAGCACCACTTTTAAATTTTCGATATTTATCACGTAATCGGCTACTCATTTTATTTTGGTACACGATATTTAAGCTCCAACGACCACGAAAAACGAACACATACTAAAAATTACCGGTACAAACAGTTTGTTATTTCGGTGAATAAATGGTTTTATTATTTTGACTATTTTTCTACGAAATTCGTCGATTAAAATAACATGCCTTGCCTAATCGCGTATCTCGAGTGTATGTGCATATGCGAGTTGAGTGAAAAATGAACATGGGGAAATTAGTAAACCAATTGATCTATATATATAATCCATATAAATTTAATACAATATTTCGACGTTTACCTTTATAATGTTTGAAATTGTATTTCAAATGTATTACTTCTGTTTAAATAGCAGGTTTTTTTAAATATACAAATTAAAAATATATAATCACAAGAACTAATTAATTTTAAATGAAATTGCCAAGTAATACTCTACTTTTTTTTTTGAAGTGCGAGAAGTGGCGGGGAGTTTACATCATCTGGCGCAAGTAGGAAAATTTTCTCAATGACCTTTTTTTTTACTCATCTTTCTCCAGGTCTGGTATTTTTGTGCGAGACACCAAAAGCGCGAGGCCCAGGGCCTGGGCCCTGCTTGCCCTCCCCTAAGGACGGCCCTGGGTTTGGCTATTCCTAGAATACGAAAGAAAACTACGCTCAAGCAAAAACCTCATACAAGAGAGAATAGGCTAACGCCTGGTGCTCTACATAGGCCGCCGGCCGTCATACAAAGACAAAGTCCAAGTCGGTTTGGCGGAAACAAAAAATCTACCTTAATCAGATTTAGCGGAAACGATGAGCCCTTTTGAATCCCCTCTTTTGGGCAGGTAAAAATTTATAAAAAAATATACAAAATAATAAGTAAATACCTCATTAATCTATAAAAAAAATTATATTAAATTGGTCATTTTTAAAAAAGTTATGACAGTTTTAAGTAAAAAAAATATTGAAAATTCGCGATTTTTAAAATTATAATTTATTTAGAAATTTTCCTTATTTACGGGAACGAATGAAATTTTTCAATTTTTGAGGCAATGTCTTCGACTAGATAAGATTTGTCATCTTTTGACGTATCGTTAAAAGAAATTGGTCCAATGAAAGCTGAGAAAAAATGATAACAGACACACAAAAAAAAAATTTTAATAAAAAAAAAAAAACATCATAGTAAAATTAATACCTTCTCATCTTCGTAACAAAGCTAAAATAGTAATCAAAAATAAGTATTATTTTTGATTACAAAAACACAGTTGAAAGATTTAAAGAGAGAGAGTATTTTATAGAAACTCTTTTAAGGAAATAATTAAATGGATTCCTGCTTTAATTAAAAAGAAAATTAGTTTTAAATAAATATTTGAATTTAATAATCAAATTTGAATTAAAATCAACTAAGATACCATAGGTTAACAGACAAAGAGTCAATAAACATTAAGTTATCTTTAAACAGAAAAATAAGTAGAGGTGAGATGCTCAGATAAAGGTAAAAAAAAATCCTTAACACTTAGACTTTTAATAAATATATACAGGGTGATTTTTTTATCATAACCCACTCAATTACTTACAGAATAATAATAATTTAAACATTTTTTTTTATTATTATCTTTAGTTACACATTATTCTTGAATTATTAACTATGAAATACTTTTTAAGTTCATCCCTTATGCCTGGTAAGGGTGTCAACTTTGTTTTTTTAAATGGTAACTCATATTTTTAATTTAATAAAATGTTTGAGTTTTTAATTCAATAGTAAATGGCATTTAAATTTTTAATAAAACTTAATTTGTTTATTAGATATAAACATTTAAAGTTTAAAATTTTTGAGTTAATATATAGGTATAATACACAAGGGATTACAAATACAGGTAGCTAATTGGTTTTTTATGATATTGCTATCACAGTCACGAATTGTTTATTATCAATTATGACTATCAATAGATATACTTTTTGTATTGTCAGTTAGTGTATTTATAAACTCGCAACAATGTACCTTACTATCATTGATAATAACAATGCTGTGTACCTGCTAATATCGATGTCATAAAAAACCAATTAGCTACCTGTATTTGTAATCCCTTGTGTATTATACCTATATATTAACTCAAAAATTTTAAACTTTAAATGTTTATATCTAATAAACAAATTAAGTTTTATTAAAAATTCAAATGCCATTTACTATTGAATTAAAAACTCAAACATTTTATTAAATTAAAAATATGAGTTACCATTTAAAAAAACAAAGTTGACACCCTTACCAGGCATAAGGGATGAACTTAAAAAGTATTTCATAGTTAATAATTCAAGAATAATGTGTAACTAAAGATAATAATAAAAAAAAATGTTTAAATTATTATTATTCTGTAAGTAATTGAGTGGGTTATGATAAAAAAATCACCCTGTATATATGAACCTAATATGAAAATATCATATTTCATATGATTTATATTTTATATAATAACTGTAATTTTAAGTTCAAACTATAGTATAACAAGTGTTATGTATGTTAAGTAGTTACATCGTACATGATAACGATGGGGTCTAGATAGTAATTTCAAATGTACTGGTAATGTGTTGATGTCTAATTCATTTTAATCTGTCGTACCACTGTAGGATTTTAAAAAATAAACAATTAAGCAATTTAGTTAATTTCATATTTTTAATATAACAAGAATAAAATTAATTGAATTATTAATTTTTACGGTCATTATTAAAATATGGTACCACTAAATATTAAAGAAATGAAAAGAAAATGTTTTTATAATTGACCATGTCGTAAAAAATATTAAATATAGAGATAACTATTGACTTATAAAATAATTAAAACTGTAACTGATATAATTGATTGACAAGTTGTTACTTTCTTTTCCATTGATTATATGTCACGAATTCGTCATTATGAAATAAAAACAGTCGTCTTAACGACCAACTTAATATATAGTATTATTTCGGCTATCCTTCTAATTATTGTTTAAAAAAATATCTTATATATAAAACATTCCATATTGTATTTTAATTTATTATTAATTTGTAACGTGACAAAATGAGGTACCCTTAATTTTTGTATATTTTGTAAATACAAAAATAATACTATATATTAAGTTAGCCGTTAAGACGGCTGTTTTTATTTCATAATGACAAATTCGTGACTTATAACCAATGGAAAAGAAAGTAACAACTTGTGAATCACTTTTTAAACACCCATCCATATTTTATGGCCCAGCTTTCTTTATTTTACCCTAATTCTGTCACTTTATTTTACGGACAAGTCTTTAAAATTTGATAATAAAAAAAAATTATATTAACATATTACTTTATACCTCATACCAAAGAGATGTTAGAAACAAACTATTAAATTAAAACCATCAATTTGGTATAAACTGTCGTAATATACTCGTTACTATTATAATATGATATAACAGAGGGCTGCTAGGAATCGGAACAGACGTTAACGGTACACGAGCTGTCACATCCTTCAGTTATACAAATGATGTACACTGTTTGTAGGTCGAAGTTGTAGCCTGAATTTGACAATGAACGCGACCTAAGGCCCCGTTCGAAGAATTACCAATTCCGAAGATGGTGAGATTAGTTTTTTCTTGATAGAATTGTAGTGAATTTGCCAACTGTTTCGTCATAAAATTAGACATCAAACCAGAATCTAACAGTGCTCTGGCCATACAAGACTTACCGGTTTGTGTATTTACCACACGAATCATCGCTGTAGACAGCAGAACCGATCCGCCTTCAGCTTTTTCTACAGTTTTGTCTACCTGGGGGTCTATTTTTGAATCGTCCGTTCGTCGAACGTATACGTTCGTTGAACGGACACGTTCCACGAACGGACACGATTGTCGAACGTATACGTTCGTTGAACGGACACGATCATTGAACGGACACGTTCGTCAAACGGATTCTATTGTTCAATTAGGTATACGATCTTCTAGGTATTATTCGATGAACATTTATGTTTTACGAATGTTTGAAATTTATTGTAATAACATACATAAATATTTTGAAAATTAAATTCATACAGCTTGATTTTCAATATTTTAATATTTATTTTTAATTAATATATTACTTATTAATAACAATAATTTATTACTAACACATACATTTATAATTTGTTAATTTAATTTATTTGATGTGAATTTATTTTAAGTAATTCGCTAAAACTATACAAATAATTTAACTACACAAATTCTAAAAAAAATGTATTTACAATTGCATACATGTTAAATTAAAAATTATTAATACACTTTAAGACAACAATGCTTAAATTTTCGAAAATAAAGTGTTACAACATATATTTTATATAATTTTATTTTATTTATTCATTTTAAGATTAATTGATATAATTTATAAATTATGTTACATATAAATAAATAATAAATTTAATAAAATTTTAGTTTGGTTGGAAAAAATGATACCCTAAGTCACAGTCTACTCCTAAATACGCCACTGTTTTGAAAAGTTGTTAACATAACAAACATATAATTTCATGAATAATTTTCACAAAAAACTTAAAGTAAATTTTCAAAAGATGGTTTATTACGAGGTGTAAGGATACAACTAACAAAATAGTTGTTACACGTATTACAAGTTTTAATTAATATTACTGAGTAATCATAACATAATACTATGTTTTAATTTATTAAAATATTAACTGAAAAATGGAAATTAATTTATAATAGTGAATATAATATTTTAATATTTTGTACTTTTTTTTTAGACAACATTACGTTTTAATACAATATTACATTTAAAACATAAATATTACTTTTTTCTGCACGTGTTCAAACAATAGGGGTAAAAATTTTTGAGTTAATATACATGTATAATACACAAGGTTTTACAATTACATGTAGCTAATTGATTTTTTATGACATCGATATTAGCAGGTACACAGCATTGTTATTATCAATGGTAGTAAGGCACATTGTTGTGAGTTTATAAATACACTAACTGACAATACAGAAAGTATATCTATTGATAGTCATAATTGATAATAAAGAATCCGTGACTATACAGCAATGTCATAAAAATCCAATTAGCTACCTGTATTTATAATCCCTTATATATTATACATATATAGGGTGATTTTTTTATCATTACCCACTCAATTACTTACAGAATAATAATAAATTAAACATGTTTTTTTCGATTATCTTTAGTTACACATCATTCCTGAATTATTAACTATGTAATACTTTTTAAGTTCATCCCTTATACCTGGTAAGGGCGTCAAATTTGTTTTTTTAAATGGGAACACATATTTTGAATTTAATAAAATGTTTGAGTTTTTAATTTAATAGTAAATGGCATTTGAATTTTTAGTATAACTTTATTTGTTTATTAGATATAAACAATTAAAGTTTCAAATTTTTAAGTTAATATACATATATAATACATAAGGGAATCATCATTTTACACGTATATTTAAAATGAAAAATGAAAATAAAAACCAATAGATATTTTAAAAAATTGATACATTCTATAAAACTGATATCAATTATTAAGTAAGCACTCTTAAAAAAATCAGTATTAAAATATAACTTAATTTAAGTATAATTTGTTATTTATTATAAAGAAAATATCAAGTTGAGCATGTTTTTTGAAGTATTGAATTCAAAATAAAAATAAAACTATTTAGAATCCAAGAAATAATACTAAATATTCACATATGAACCATTAATAAAAAACACAATAATATGAAAGAATGTCTATTAAAATAGAAAATTATTATGGCAGTTTAGAAACAAAATTAATACGAATTAAGAAGTATGAACTAAGCATATTTTATATATTATATTTTTGGAATAACAAATATTTTATTTATCAATGGTAATAATGTACAAATTTACCTAAAATATGCAAGGTATAAAAAAAATAATGATTACCATATTAATTTTGAATGTTAAATATTGTTAAGATAAGTAAATGGATAAGCTTAATTTTTTTTAATTTTTTAGTAATAAAAAAAATTCTATTCAACTTTTTTTTTTACGTATTAATTTTTCTTCTATAACACTTGTAATAAATTTTTCATTACTAATTTTGGAATTTTAACTAATAATTCAATGTTTATAGTTCTACTCCATAATAAAGTTTTCTACATATCTTTTTAATTATAATTATTCTACTATTCAATTTTTGTTTTCATTTACATTTATAAATTTGCAACCTCCAATCACTTTATTTAAATAAATAATAATTTATTTTACATGTTAGGAGCTGGAATTTACTATTCTGAAGTTTACTTCAATTCAATTTAAAATCATAGAATTTTTTTCACATTTATTATGGATGTTATTGATTTTAACATCCATTATTTCTATAGAGTTATTTAAAGAAATAAAAAAATGTATACAACAAAACTGAATCATCAATATTTAAAGGAATTTGATAATTCTCTAAAAACAGAACTGGTTTTATTTTATGAAAAACTAATAATTGTCTTTATTTAATAATTTTCTAATATTATGTTTTGTATTATCGATTAAGTTAAAAGTTCAATGAGTAATTAAATTGTCCACTTTTCCATATTACATGTATTAAAATATTTTATTGAAAAATTCTATTGTTTTACTTTCAATTTGATGAAATACCATTTCAAGTTTGTTATTATAAATCATATTCAGTTAATTGTATTTAAAAAATTTTACTAATTTAAAAATACAAGAAAATACTTGGTTATTTATTAATTTATATCTCCGTAATGAAAAATTATGAATTAATTAATACTTTTGTATTTATAGTAGAATAATATAACAAAATAAATACAGATTTATTTTATTTATTTATAACTAAATTTTGATTTGTGTCTTTTAAATTTTTTTTATCCAATAATTATACTAATTAATGATGCATGATAAAGATAAAATACTTAATTAGTACTCAACAATGTATTGTCATGTACAAAATGTTAGCAAATATTAAATGATATCAATTTTTTAATTAAAAAATTAGAGAACTGTTATGAAATAAAATAAAACTTTATGAGGTTGTACTTCAACAAATATGAAACACAAAAGTTAAAAAATCAAACTTAATGTATCAAGATATTTTATTAAAAGTAAAAATTAAAACAATCATAAAATTTTCTAACTTATTTACTGTCAACAGTGGTAAAAATGTTGACTAAACTTGCTAATCTAAGTANCGTTGACTAAATTTGCTAATCTAAGTAATGAAAAAATGTAAATTATAAAACTAATCCATCAGAAATTAATATTCTTATTTAACTTGAATTCTAAACTTACCACTTAAATAAAATATCTGTTGTTCAAAATTTTAGCAAATAGTAAAAAAATACTATAGAAATTAGAAGATTCTTTAAATATTCATACATTTTGAAAATATACTTGAACTGTGAATTGAAAATTGGTATGATATTATCTGTTATTTTTCATTTGAATAACAAAATTTAAAAACACTATATTTTTTGATAACAATATTATTACAATCAATAATAATATCAATTGGTAGTCATCGGTTAATCAACGACTACCAATTATTGCATTGCCTACGGTAAGGGCTGTTTCACTTACAGATAAATTAAAATTGAATAGTAGCACTAATAAATGATGCGGTTCGTGATGAATTTTAATGTAGATAACTATTTTAAATGTCTCGACTTTTGTGAATGCTCTCGCTGTTAATTTAATTATACACTTACATGCTAAATTTTCTTTAAATGTAGTATACAGAGCAATACAACCATATGTGAAACTAAGGAAGTGGCTTAGTCTTTTAAAAATTTAGAAAATTATGTTTATTGTTTTTTAAATTATTTTTAGAATTGTTATATATTAGTGGCTGCACTGTTAAGCAGCTAGCGTCTTTGTCCCCTCTTTGATTAAGATGTAATGAAGATGTAAAAAGTAGACGCTCTTATGATTTATTTAAAATAAAGTTTTTACTGTAAAACTTAACTTGTTCTCTTTTTAAAAATATGTATTATTAAAATACATAACATGGCGCAGTCGAGAGGATTGCTAGTACCAGCCCCAGGATCGCTGGAGTTACACGGTAATTTAATGGAAAATTTTAAAAATTTTAAAAGAAAGTATGAACTATATATATCAGCGAATGACTTGGAAAATAAATCAAATAAAATTAAAACTGCAATATTACATTCTCTTATTGGGGATGATGCTAATGAGCTGATTGATACGCTTGAGCTGACTGATAAGCCATATTGTACTATATTAAGTGGCTTAGAACAATATTTTGAACCTAAAAAAAATTTAATAATAGAACAATTCAAGTTTTTTCAAAGAAATCAGCCAGAAGGTGAATCATTTGATCATTTCTTAATTGATCTAAGAAAGCAATCTAAAAAATGTGAATTTGGTGAATTGAACAATAATCTTTTAAGAGTGAGGATAGTTCTTGGTATTAATGACAAGAGACTTCAGGAACGGTTATTAAGAGAACCAAAATTGACTTTAGAACAGACTGTTGAGTGTTGTAGAGCTGCTGAAGCTGCTAAACAGAACCAGTCAGTAGTAATGTCAAAGGGTGATTCTAATTATTTGTCAAGTAATCCAATGGTTGATGCTGTTATTTATAATACTAAAACAGAACATTCTAAAGATTTCAACAAGTTTGATGATAAGTCAAATGGGTTACAAAGTGGTGGTCAGTCCAGTCAATCAATGAAATATAAAAATCATGTCATAAATGTTTTAATGTATGATTGTAAGAAATGTGGTCG